TGGTAAGGCTTGAAGTCCACAAATGAGAGATACTTACATGAATTTTGGAAAATGGAAGAGAAGCAAAAGGCACCATTCCATGTATGAAGGAGTCGGCCGGTGTGTGAGATTAACGCAGGCAATAATATTTCAACAGATTAATCCACGCTTTTTCTCCTATGCATCACCTCTTTTAATGTTGACATGAGTGGTGGTTTCCTACAATTTTGCACTTCCCTTTTTCCTCAGTGGAGATCTTTTCTAACCTTCACTTCTAGCTCCTCCAGTGGTTTTATAAGATTTCAATACCCCGTATTTAATAACTTCCTGCCAGAAATGTTTACAAGGGCTTCTCTTGCTATCCAAATCATGACTTGCTCCCCCATCTTCCCTGGTGGCAAGGTTCTAGAGAACTTGTTTATGAGCCATAAATGAAATCTATATGTAGTACCTTTTGTACTTAATGCAAATATCTCCCTTTAATGACCCTCAAAAAAACAAAACAAAGCCATCTGATTCTGAACAAATATGTATCTTTACCAGACTTCTATAGAGCTAAAACCTTACTTTTCTAGAAGATGCATGCAAAAATAGGGGGAAAATGTGGTTTAAAACCTTGCAGATTTATCTTCATATCTTGGATTTAATATTTATTTCACTTCATAAGCTCAGTTTCCTTGATGGAAGTTTATTAATTACTGAGGGGAAAGTGCATGCCCCCCACACACAACAAGCTAGCCTGGAGTGATCAGTAAAATTATTACAAAATAGATTAAGCATGTACCAAGACAACTATTGGGCCCAGGGAAAGGAGTTCAATATCTCTTGTGTGCCTCTGCGCTTTCTTGCCCTGGAATGGCTGGTTCAAACCAGCAATTTAGAACTGCTCTAGCTGTCCTATAGTATCCTTTAGGTAATCATAGCACTAAAGTCTCCACTTAGTGGAAAATTGTAAAACCATTAACCTAAGTTGTATAATTGGGCATGATGATGGATCTGGGCCTGCATGATTTGTTTCACCATGAACAAGCAGTGATACCACGTGACAGCTCTGCATAGCTACTGGGAAGGTAAAATCCAACACCAGGCAACACCACAGGTGAGCAGATGCAGATTTTGCATGCAAGAAAGCCCCTGTGAAAGAAATTGCTATGCCACCCAGGAGCAAGCACCACTGTGAGTAACCTGTAATACATTCATTTCATTCGTCAAACTGGACTTGTCTGAATCATTCTTTAGTCTCCCACTTTGGAGGGGATAGTTTTTCTATACTGTCCTGGGATTTTCCTGACCCAAGTACTAACTTGGTGCAAAGAATAGCAAATACTTGTTGATACTTCAGTGGTTAAAACAGCCCCATCCCTGCCTAAGCCCAAACTCTAGCGACAAATATTGGTGGAAAAGCGAATCTGCATGGGCTAAACATATAGACATGGCAATAAGCAGCCTTCCACACCACAAGAATAGTTTGTGTTTACCATAGAATCATGATAAGATATTGAAGAATTTCCATGAGAAGGGTGGTTTGATAAAATTTGAGTTTTGAAAAATCACTCTGTCTAGTTGTTATAAGTGGAATTAAATGGGAAGAAGATAAGATACAGAGAACCAATTAGAAAGCTGCTGTATTCCTTTTCCCCTATAATTAGTTTCATAGTAGGGCTGAGTACATTGGATACTTTTTCTTCCATTCTTAAGATACTTTGCTAAGAAGAATATTTTCCAGCTCTGTCCATGTAAACATCTAAGAGGTAAAGTCTCCATCTTTCTTTAAGGCTAGACAATATTCCATGGTGTACATATACCACAAATTATTGATCCATTCATGGGTCATTGGGCATTCGGGCTTCTTCCATGACCTAGCAATTATGAATTGGGCTGAAATAAACATTCTGGTACATATATCTTTGTTATAGTGTGGGTTTTGGTCTTCTGGATATATACCAAGTAGAGGAATTATAAGATCAAATAGTAGGTCTATTTTTGGTTCTCTAAGTAGTCTCCAAACATCTTTCCAAAAGGAACATATTAGTTTGCATTCCCACCAGCAGTGTAGAAGTGTTCCCTTTCCTCTACATCCATGCCAACATCTCTGGTTTTGGGATTTTGTGATATGGGCTAATCTTACTAGAGTTAGATGATATCTCAAAGTAGTTTTGATTTGCATTTTTCTGATGATTAAGGATGATGAGCATTTTTTCAGGGTGGAGGAAGGGTAATTGGTGGGACCACACCTATGGTGCATCTTACAAGGGTACATGTGAATCTTCTAAATGTAGAATATAAATGTCCTAACACAATAACTAAGAAAATGCCATGAAATCTATGTTAACCAGTTTGGTGAAAATATTTCAAATGGTATATAAAACCAGCACATTGTATCCCATGACTGTATTAATGACATAGCTATGATATAATTTTTAAAAAGGTTGAAAAACACTTAGATTAAAAAAAAGAAAGAAAGAAAGCTACTATATTAATCTAAATAAGAGATAACAGGTAACTGGGGAGATATCCATCACCTGGATCATGGGGGTACAGAAAAGTGAACTGATTTAAGAAATATATACAACTTGGAAAAGATGTAGGCATTAATTGTATATGTGGCATAAAGAGAGGAGTCAAGGCTGACTCTGAAGTGATAAGCTTTGGAGAAGTGGGTGTATAATGGTATTGTGACTGGGACAGGGAATAAGGAAGACAAAACAAAGGTGAGGTGTGCAAGTTCTGTAAAGCTTTGGAGAAGTGGGTGTATAATTGTATTATGATCAGTACAGGGAGTAAGGAATACAAAGTGAAGGTGGGGTGTGCACTGAAATAGCAAGTTCTGTTTAAGACAAGTTGGATTTGATTTGCTGGTGCAAAACCCACATGGACATGAAGTTTAGAAGGAAGTTCTGGTGTGAAAATAAAGGTTCAAGCATCTTCAGAATGTGGATTACAGCTGAAGCCATAGCAGTGGATGCATGAAATCAGGCCAGGTACAGAATGGAAAGAGAGCTGGACTAACCATGGAGTCCCATTTTTCTTTTTCAGTTGCATTGAGGTCTTACCCTCTAGTCTTAAACAGAAACTCTAGCAACAATTTCTCACAATTTCTCTAATTTCCTTAATTTTATTTATTTCAACAACAAAAGCACTACATGAAAGACATCTTATTAATGAATTGACATAAGGAATTGGATTAGATATGTTAACTGAATCATTAATTGGATTCTAATAAGTTACAACTACAATTAGGTAATATAATAATATATATAGTATAAGAATTCTCCAATGGGAGGAACACATTTAATCACAAATTTCTGTTAATATATTAAGCAAAGTATATGTTATTTAAAAAAACAAAAAGCTTCTTTTTGGACAGTTATGCTATGCTGTATCCAACAGAAAAATGAATTCTTCAGCTCTATGATATATTACAGATATACATTTTTTGTTCCTTCTTAACATATCTTACACCTTACTTAACTTCTACTGTTTTCCTTCTTTTTCATACTCCTAAATACAGTGTGCTTAAAAATCAATCTTTTATTTCTAATATGGAAATATTTTAATAACAGCTAGAGTATGAATTTTAAATATAGCCATATCATGAAGCTTTTCAGTAAACAAAATTAATGTTGTAACCAAATGTAATATTCATGTTCAATTTACCTAAAATTTGAAAAATATATTCATAAATCCTATCATATTTACAAAAATAGGACTACAGTGAAATTTCTATAACAGTATCCAAGGAAATGGGACAATTTTAACATCTCAATTATTTTTCTTGAAGAGAATAGGGCTTTAAACATCTTTGGTTGGGTTCTATCGAAATAAAAATGTTGTCATAATGTAATTAAATGAAAAATAGTATAGCATCTATTCATATGTTTTACTATTTATAGGTATAATTTTATTGTGTATATATTCATAGATTATCAAAAATGCAAATAATTATTTTGAAAAGAGGACAAATACCTTATGTGAAATGGGTTGAAACAGAATATTTCCACAGTAGAATGAATCTAGGGTTTTCAGTACTACTTACCACAGTCCACTTTAATGAAATTATTTGTTTTATTTATTGTGAATGGGTATGAGGAAGATGAATTGCAAAGAAAATAGCACTGCAGTGCCCTGTAAACATATGAGAGTTATGGAGCTGTGCAAAAATTGCTTATTATCACAAAATGCCACAAAATTATTCTCTAATCTGATTTAATTTTTAGTGCAAACTTACCTCCAGTAGGAATAATAAGGTGTAACAATGAGCAATGATTAAAAGTGTTAAGTTGTATGTTTCTTTGTTATCTAAATAGTATCTCTTTAAAGCAAGACTAGCTTGAAATAAGAAATTAAATGGTAGTTTGCATTCCTTTTGCGAATTTCAGTCTTTGAGTTGAAGAAACTTTCATCAAACATGCATTTGGTTTTAAGAACAATTGGCTGAGGGTTAGAGATTTCCTTCATTTGCCAAAATATTAATTATACAGCACATTTCAGCTCCTTTCTTTAAAGTCATTCAAATGGTTGGCAACAGTTCCCTCGGCGTTTCCTGATGGATTTCGTCTATAGGAAGAGCAATAAGAACAAAATGCAATAAAGGACAGCGTGTGGCTCCCCCGTGAAATGTATGTTTAGGCGCCTTTTCATCAGACGAAGGGGGAGCAGTGAATTACACACAGCATCCTCGATCCAGGTCCGAATGCATTTTGAAAATCAATTTATTTGCCCACCACCTTTTAGAAATGCTGAGAATGTCAATTCTTTGTTCAGGTTTTCTTCACTCTGAGAAAACCGTCAAAAATATGTCTCCATGCTTTTACTCATAATTTAATCAAGCAACTGTAACCAAACCCTTCCACGGCCCTATCTTTGAATATGAGTATTTTCACCTAAGCTCCACCAACCAGTTTTCCAGGAATTAAACTATAGATGTTTAATGAAAAGACCATTCAGATGCTCTTTTTCTTCCTTAAAATGGGGACTCAAAATGCCCCTGTGAGCTTTCATCACCCAGATGTATAGCTCTGGTCAGAATTTATCCAAATTATCTTTACATCCACTTGTCTTAGACATTGGTGGCCTCTGTGAAAGAGTCATTGGGCTCATTGTTCTTTGTGACTTCCAGGTTCTTTTTAGCCTTGAATGTCATGGACACCTCAGAGTGAATAGCGTCCAACCTCTGCTCACAGCGGAAGGCCGAGAGGAAAGCCTTTCTGTAGTTGCTGTTCATCCAGCCATACAGCAGGGGGTTGGCGAAGGTGGAGCACATGGCGATGATGTGGAACACGGTAAAGATGAGTTTGTACTCCTTCAGGTCCAGGACATGACTGTCAATGTCCACGGCAAGTTGGAAAGCATGGAGGGGCAGCCAGCTGACAGCAAACACCACCACCACGCACACCAGCATTTTGGTGGTCTTCCGCCTTCGCTGATGGTAGTGGTCATTAGCAGCACCAGGGCTGACGTGGGTCTTCAGCTTATTCCAGATGCGGGTGTAGGAAAAAGATATGATGCCCAGGGGCAAGACATACAGGATCAACAAGGAGGAAAGACTGTAGACAGTGCCGTAGATGCTCTTCTCCTCACCTGGCCACTTCTCTGTGCAGGCCACAATCTCAAAGTCCGGAATAATCTCAATCAGCGAGTACTCCCGGAAGATGGCCAGGGGACTTGCCAGCAGGGCACTGATGCCCCAGGCCAAGCCAATGATCAGGAAACTGATCCGCTTGGAGATCTTGCTCTCCAGGTGGTAGACGATGCACCGGTGCCGGTCCAGAGCAATCACTGTCAAGGTGATTGTGGACACCTGCACTGCCAGGCCCTGGGCGTAGGGCACCAGGTGGCACAGGACAGGGCCCATTTTCCACTCCCCCATTAAAGTGTAGGTAAGAGTGAATGGCAGACACAGGGTGTTCACCAAAAGATCCGCCACAGCCAGATTGGCAATGAAAAAGTTGGTTACTGTGCGCATGCTCTTGTATTTAATCACCACATGGATCACCAAGGAGTTGCCAATCACCCCAAGCAGGATGATGGAGCAGTAGGCCAAGATAAGGACCACCTGTACCTCGATCAGCTTGGTGCTATCTATGAGCTCTGGCTCAGGGTCCGGGGCCAGCTCGCCTCTAGAAGTGGTTTGCTCCGGTCCGTACTGCTCCACCCTCACTTCTTCCACTGTCTGGTTTTCATCAGCATCTGCACCGACTGGGCCCATTTTCAGTGCAGTTCCACTTGGCCTGTGACTAGCACAAGAATCTACAATAAAATACAAAGAACAAGGAAATCACAAACGTGGAGCAAAGACCTGTCACAAATCACTGGTTTAATTTTGGTTGGGGACTGAAAATACCTGTCCTCAGAACCCTAAAATTGCCTGCAGTATAACATTTTAATAAATGGTCCTTTAATAAGTCTATTCACAAACATGGATGAATGAAATCAGGTCTTTGAAATGTATATGATGGCTCGGTGCCTATGGCTCAAGCGGCTAAGGCGCCAGCCCCATACACCTGAGCTGGCAAGTTTGAATCCAGCCTGGGCCTGCCAAACAACAATGATGGCTGCAACCAAAAAATATGGGGGCACCTGTACTCCCAGCTACCTGGGAGGTGGAGGCAGGAGACTCACTTGAGCCCAGGAGTTGGAGGTTGCTATAAGCTGTGATGCCACAGTACTCTACTCAGGGCAACAGCTGGAGGGTCTGTCTCAAAAAAAAAAAAAAGAAAGAAAGAAAGAAATGTATACGATGACAGCAAAGTGTAATAATTCCAATTCCAACATGAACACTACCAAACAGATTCAAGTGGGCTGAGTATTCTGAGCTCTATCGATGTTATAACTACTATAAATTCATCAAATTACTTTTAAGGTTGATTAAAAGAGGAAAGTTCCCCTCAACATCTTGACTGTTTTAAATTTATAAATAAACAACAACAAATTGTATAGGAAAGAAATAAATATTAAAACCATTTGCCTGGTGCCTGAACTTTGAATGTATAAAACACCTAAGGTAAACAGATTCTGCTTCAAATTGGTTATTCCTAGTGCAGGGATTACTATTAAAAATAGGTAACCTGTGTAGAGCAGCTGCTTTTTTAGAATGATCTGAAATAAACTTCTCAACTAATATATAGCATTCTATGCCTCACCTTTAAGAGACGACTCAGAGTAGTCTCTTACACATCTCCTCCAACTGTCTACTTCTCATTAATTCTACCACGCTGGATTTGTCCTTCTCAATTTCTTACCATGATAACTCTAACAATCTTCTCCCTGGCCTCCTTTCCTCTTTTGCTTGCATTTATTTGTTCATTCATTCATTTCACAGATACAATGGAGCATCTACCAGATGCCAGGCGTGGCTTGCCTGTCACGCAGCTTATCCTTGTACGAGCATGCTCAGCAAGCATTTAACAACCTATGTCACGTGCTGAGCAAGAAGACAGGAGGACAGTTCCTCTGATGCTCTTGCATTTGACCAGACAGACCCCACTCTGACGTTAAAATGCTTTTTCTGGAATTCAAATGTGATCATATTATTTTCTTCAGTGTGTCCAGAGTGCTTAATACAACGTGACATATTGTTTCCTAATGTAAGTTTCCTTTCTTCAGTTTATAAAAGCATACAGAGCCTAATATCATAGTAGTGGTACCTTTGGAATATATTCATAATCACAAAATGCTGCTGCTATTAATTTGGAATCTCTGTTCAGTGAAGATTTTTATTAATCATGTTAACCATTATACCCTCTGCCTCCATTGGTATCTGAGTCATATTTCTTCAGCACACAGACAACGCTGGCCTGAGCCTGTGTGTCCCCAGCACCATTCCTCACCCTTCCTCTGCTCAGGCCTGCTCTGTGCCCCAAGGGGGCTGAAGACTTACATTTTCAGGTTCCAAGTCTTTGGAGCTCTGGCTGGTTTTGATCGGCGGGAGTCACTGGCAGGTAGAGGACAAGAGCTCAGCAGCATTTCAATGCTCTGGCTTCCAAGGGACAGACCCACTGTGATTCTGTTTCCAGTGGATGTTACACTACCACTTCCCGTGACCCTGAAGCTGGAGGTAGACATGACTCCCTGCTCTTGCTAATCCCTGCACTCTCCCAACATCCTTTATTTGGCTTCCATGATTTGTGTAACCAATTCTCTGCATTAGATTCCTCACTTTAATATTCTTGAATAGATTCTGTTTTGTATCCACTGCTAACAAGGTCTGCCCAGAAAGTATCCAGCCTTTTCTTAATACTCGCATTTTTTATTATATTGCTGAATGCTATCTGGACAGACCTCACATGCTTTCATTCATTTACTCTCCCACTAAAACTTTGACACTCACAGGTGGTTAACAGTGACTGACCTTCAGAAAAAAATCCCAACTCCTGCGTTTGACATTCAAGGCTTTTCATGAATGCATCCCTGCAGACCTGTCCGGCCTCATCCCCTCTGACATTCCAATACATCTTCTGACTCCATCATGCTGCCCTGCTCCCAATTCCAGCAACCCCTCAGCCTTTCTCATGCCTCTCTGCCCTCCATGTTCCAAATTGGGAAGCCTCCCAGATGTTGCTATAACTTGCGCTCACTTGTAACATTGCAGAGACCACATGACACCACGGTCCCGCCTTCCTCCCAGTGCAGCAGCAATGTCTTTGAACCTGAATTTTCTTCATCTGTTGTTTAATCCCTAGCACAGTGTCCAGCACATAAAAGGTACTCAACAATTTGGCAGAACAAACATGGAACTAAAATAAGGCACACTTTTACTGAATGGGTGTCAGCAAAATATGAAGTATAATTTTGATCCTTTCCTTCCCTGGAGATAAATGCCTATACAGGATTATTTGCTACGACATAACACCCTTATGTATATTTCTTGCTTTAATTAGATAACTGCTTATGCAACAAAGTTGTTGAAAGACTATCTGAAGTCAGTTCCTAATTATAACATCATATACCACAAAGAAACCCTTTTAAACTTAAAGGTAGCTCTTTCCTCCTTCTCAACACATCTCCTCCCAACTTTTTTTTCTTTCTCTCTGTCTCTTTGTCTCACTCTCTGTCTCTCACCACCCCCCTTCCCTAGGAACCTTGCTACACAGAGGGGCTCATTTGCTACTCTGTCATGTTCTTGTTTTTCTACATACATTTCAAATGGTGTTCTAAGGAGCCAGCCTTTGTTCACATGTGCCTCCACTCCTTAGTAATTAGGAAAAACTTAAAGGAACCAGTTAAGTCTTGGAGTGTATATCTGATACCATTTCCCTTAGACTAAGAGACTGATTTTACAAAGTAGGATTAGTCAACCCTGACAAGCCATTAAATGGAGGTGGCAGCAGACTAAAATGAGAGTAAGAAAGACATTGAAGGATTTGGGGAGGAAAAGGAGGGAGTATACTTGATTTATTGACTTATTTTGGTTTTCTGTCTTAGTCGTACTTTTTAAAGTCCCCAAATTTAAAACTTCTCTGCAGGAATTGCTATTGGTCTACAAGCTATTAGCATATGGACACGATTAGGGTTCCTGAGCACACTATTGGCCTTTGGTCAGGTCAAAGCATTACCCAGAGAAGAAAATGTATCATTTTATAACAGCACTTCTAAAAAAGTGGAAAAGGAAAAAAGTATACAGAGGAAGTTGCCACGTTAAAAACAAACTCAAAGAATGTACAATAAATCATAAACGGAAATGGGAAAACCTTTTCCCTGAACATGATATTTGCATTACTTGAATGAGATATTTACCTTATTTAAGACACTTAAAGAGAACTTTGAATGTACACTTTTCTTAAACAAGTGAATCATTAGGAACTTTCTAATAGAAGTATTTCTTTTTAGAATAGGAATAGAGTTTCAGGATGTTCCTCCCCCCACCCCAGATTCAAATAACATCAGATTGTCAGAATTCAAAGACTACTTCATGCTTCCAGTATGTATTTCAAACTGTGGGGCTTTTTGCAACAATATTGTCACAGGTTCGCCTTAGTACAACATCTTCCAGGAATTTTTCCCCAGGTAAAAATCTCAAACCATAGACCCTACACTTGCCTACAATTGTCAATCCCATAAGAGGGAGAAGGGAACTTTCAACGCTACATGTAAGACATGATTGCTTACCTAAGCAGGAAATTGAAAATCTCTTTTCTGCGTATTTTAGCTTCTGGAGTCTTTCTTTGAAAACATCATTGTCTATTTCATGTAATGGAGTTTTAAATGATGTGTGTCCCTATTGCAAACAGTCTTAAAGCTTTCAATTTGACTCTTTCTGGTCCAGCATATGTTTCTACCAGTAGGTGAACCCTTCTGGTAAAAACGAGTGGATGCTTAACCAAATGTGCCTATTTTTCAACAGCTTAGAAGAATCCAATACGACCTTCCACTTCGGACGAGTGTTTGAATTTTTAAAAAGAGGCAAGAACAGTAACAACGTACTGTTCTGGGAAGATGATCTATCTGTAAGAAAGGTCAAGGAAAATATTCAATAATCTTCAGGGGAAAAAAGAAAATCTAGCGAAAGTAGAATATGTGGATGTTATCACTCCCAGCCCCCTTCTTCCTCAAAGAGGGGGCACAGGTTCACTCACTCCTGAGGACCCCCTCCACGCCCTCTTCCCAGCTCTTCGTGGGATAGTCCTGTTCCCAGAGGTGAATCCGAGTTAGGAATGACACTTACTGAGCCGGCCCTGGCGTTTCTGCGGAGACGTGGAATCAAACGTGCGCAGCGGCTAAGTCCGACAGTTACCTAGTTAGCGACTCGCAGTGAGGCCCTGGAAGGTCCCCAAAGCCAAGTCCGTTCTGTGGGCTCCACCAGCCCGGGACAGCCTGCCCTACGCCAGCCCCCGGAGACGCCGGAGCGATGAGGAGGCGGGCGGGCTGGGCTCTGCCAGGGACTTTGGCTGCTGCGCGCAGAGCCACGGGTGGGCGGGTGAGGACGCGAGGGTCGGAGGCGGGGGTGCGGAGAGGAGGCAGATCCCTCCCTCAAAGAGAAGGTAACAGGTAAGGAGGCTGCGGGGCAACGGTCCTGTAGGTCACAGGGTTGGGCGAGAAGTTTCCCTGGCGAGGGAGAAAGGACAGCGTCCAGGTCTCTCCGCTGCGCTACCTCCGAGCTCACAAGCCCGCACAGCCTACCCCACCCAATGCGGCGTCCCTCGCGGGTACCCCCACCACTTGCGGCTGCGGTTCTTACTCACCGTGTGACCCCCAAGTTTGACACGTTCGAACACCCCTTCCTCCTTTCCCATTCACGAAGTTCTCTCTTTGCTCTCCGCTACCCAGTTCCGAGAGATAGCCGGACGAGGACAGACTCCTTGGACTTGAATCCGGGCTCACCAAATCCAAGGGCAAAGGCAGGGCTGGCAGACCCAGCTGCGGGTGAGGGGCTGCGGTCCCAGGCGGGAGGCAGCCGGGGGCGCAGAATCTCTGCGCCTGAGCAGGGCTGACAAAATTCCCTG